AATAATCAACCCAGACCACAGTGTGTAATATGTTCACAAATTCTTGCAAATGAAGCGATGAAACCTGCGAAACTTCGAAGACATCTTAAAACGAATCATACTGACTGCTCGGAGAAACCATTGGAATATTTTATGCGCAAGAAACATTCACTTGGTATTCAGAAGTCTTGCATACTCCAAGCAACTAAAGTCAATGAGAAGGCTTTAAGAGCATCATTTTTATTGGCTATCCGAGTTGCACAGGCCAAAAAGCCTCACACAATTGCAGAAACTCTGATAATGCCTGCTGCTATAGATATGTGTCGAGAGATGTTTGGTGATGCCTTGGCAAGTAAACTGAAAACAATTCCACTTTCAAACGACACAATTCAACGACGTATAGCTTTGGCGGCAGCTGACGTTGAAGAACAGTTGATTTCAAGGCTGCAAGATTATAAACAATTTGCTATTCAATTGGACGAATCAACGGATGTTTAGGGCCAGGCACAATTAATGGCTTATGTCAGATATATCTGGATGGATGAAGTTGAAGAAGATTTTTTGTTTTGTAAAGCTTGTCCAGGTCACACAACAAGTGCAGAACTTTTTGCTATCCTTGATAATTTTATGGCAGCCAATGGCATCGAATGGTCCTGGTGTATCGGAGTGTGCACGGATGGTGCTGCAGCAATGACTGGAAAACGAACAGGCTTGTGGGAACGTGTGCGTTCTAATGTGCCAACTGCCACATTTACGCACTGTATGATTCATCGGGAAAGTCTTGCGAGTAAAAGAATGAACGCGGACTTGAAATCTATTTTTGATCAGGCCATAAAAATTGTTAATTTCATCAAGGCTCATCCATTGAATTCTCGTCTCTTTGCTTCATTATGTTCGAATATGGATTTTGATCATGAGCAGTTACTGATGCACACTGTTCGCTGGTTATCAAGGGGGAAAGTGTTTAACAGACTGTTTGAATTACGTGATGCTGTGCGAGAGTTTCTTGTTAGTAAAATTTCACAGCTTGTTGTTCATTTGAATGAAAATTCATGGGTTGCTGTTCTGGCTTACTTGGCCGACATTTTTGAACAGCTGAATAAACTCAATTCATCTCTGCAAGGGAAGCACACAAACTTAATTACCCTCAGTGATAAAGTGTCTGCTTTTACGAAAAAACTTGCTCTGTGGAAGACAAGATATTTCAGGGTAACTTTGAAATGTTTGATCAATTGCATGAATTCACCGAGAAACCAGAAAATGCTGAAATCAACAAGCCCGAGTTGGTGAAATTGATTTCTGAACATGTTCAATCATTGCTGGATCAATTTAACTTCTACTTTGGTGATTTGAACGTTGAGAGTTTTTCGTGGGTTTCCAGTCCGTTTCTTGCACACATTGATTCATTAAATTTACCACCATCGGAATTAAACCAATTCATTGAACTGACCAGTGATACTACGTTGAAGATGATGCATCCGAGAGTGAATAATAAAATAATTTTACCCTTTGCAACATCATATCTTTGTGAATGTGGATTTTCTGCACTGGTTACTATTAAAACAAAATATCGTTCACGGCTTGAAGTCGAAGATGAACTCCGACTGAGTCTTTCAAGCATTACACCTCGTTTGGACAAGCTGTGTTCAAATTTGCAAGCTCAAGGCTCGCACTAAAATTAAATGAACTATTGTTAGCAGTAACACTGATACTTGTTCATTACAAAAGGATGAAAAGGTTGAAACATTTATTAAAATATATAATAAATGATTTTAAATATCAACTTTATATTTTTTTTTTTACAAAACTATATAAATTTCTAGTGCGCCAGTAGCAAAATTTTTAGTAGTGGTCCGTGGCTGAAACACACATTTTTAAGTGGTCCTTGAATCTCAAAAGGTTGAGAACCGCTGCTCTAAGACTTAAAACTTATTCACTTAATGAAGCGCCTTGAGCCTACATTACGTTTGTTGTCAGCGCTCTGTAAATTGATTTGTCATAGCTTTATGAAGATAAATGTAGAACTAGCTGCAATTAATAAAGAAGATTTGAAACGAAGATTAGCTGCCAAGCATTACGAATAATTACGATATTGTTAAAGTTCTAGGTGATTTTTATTTAGTTGGCAAGAGTGACGTTCAATCTAGCTTTCTTGACATGGTTCAGTTAATAGTGAAGAGTTCTAATATGGGCCAAAAGAGCAGACGACACTAAGTAATGGCAATGTCTTCGTTTCCGAAGTTTAAGGATGAAGGCTGTATTTCACACCACCCAGTTGCGACCTGCATATTTTCCCGCATCTCGTGCAGGCAAAGCCTTTTTTCGCTGGCAGTCTATTTAAGTTTTCTTTCCGTCTTCTGCGCCTGTCTTTAGTAATGGCTTTTCTTTGAGTCTCAAACAATTGTCCTGCAGCCTTTGTGAGAGCTCTCCATCTCTTTCAGAGGCCATCTGCTGCCAGCTTATGGATGTTTTGCAAACGACAGCAAGAAAGTACACGTGAAATGTAGTTTTTTTTTTTATTAAAATGTCTTTTTTTTTTTCAAAGTGTGATTTTCGTTTTAAACGTTAGCTTTCAATAGTCTTTTAAAAAGGACTCGTTGGTAGTCAGTATAAAATGATATGATTACTATTGCCTCCTTGTGTCTGCCTGTCATCATAGAAATGTGCATGACAAAGCGTCTATTCGAATCCTATTGTTCAGTACACTCGCATACAAACTGAGTTTGTTATCAAGAGCTGAAGCAGCCGACAATGAGTCAATGGGTGTGTCATAATTGTGTCTTTTGTTTTAACACCTCCGCACAGCCAATCGTCAATTAATTAGCTGTCACGTGAGAGTAATCGTTGTTTAAGTCCATTGAAGCTAACACTGAAACACTTAGAATAATAGAGTCATAGAAGCTGATCAGAGTCCAAAGTAGAGATATAGCTTCTTGAACAACCAGTCAGCTCTAACTCTTCACCAGATGTTAATTTGAAAACAATTAGATCACGTACCATTGCATCATCCAGCCTATGAATAATAGATTCTTTCATTCGGGTTTATATTAGTTGTTTTTTAATTGCGTCACTTCCTGTAGGAGTGAATCAACTCCTCAGCAAGTGCCTTGAATTGTGTCTGGTTTTAACAAGTGATCAATGATGGTGTTCGTCATCGATGGTAGGATGGTATTCTCAAGTCATCACACTTTGTATCAAAGGAGGAGAGAGCTGTAGTTGTAGAAATATACTTCACTAACCATTTTAAAGATTTCTTCCGGTAGCCTCTTTGGTTTTTAGAGGAAAAAGATATTGTAGTCTACGATGCAGTGGCGTAGCATCCATGGCGTGAAGGAGATCATTACACTTGGGCCCATAATTCTTGGTCAGATGGGGGTTGGAACCCACATTAGAACTTAGGGAGAACATTTGTTCGTTCTTTAGAAACACTTTTAAGTCGTTGAACTCTGTTAAGAAGTTGTAAAAACATTGACTTTTAAGACACTATTACTTATATGCAGTCCTAACTGAATCAAACGTTATAACATAATTACTTATTTTTAAAAAAAGGTACGATCTTTACATGGGAATGTCTTTACATTAAGATTACTCTCTTGTCTTACACTAAATTTGTCTTATTGGCTGGAGGGGGGCCCAACAAGATGTTCTTGAACCCAGGCCCACGGGTACCTTGCTACGCCACTGCTTCGATGGATACAATATTTATTAGCATTATGATATAAATGTCGATTTAACTTACGTAATAAACATGACACATCTGTGTTATGATAGCGTTGACCAATTCGTGTTATTTGATAATCATTTTGTCAGGTTAGCCATGGGTAAAAAGACTATATATGGAAATTGTAATACATTAACTAAGTAAACTTTTTTTTATTTAAACTTCAAATATACTCTTCTCTCTTCTAGTCATCTCACTACATTGATGAAAAACAAATCAAAACAAAAAAAAAAACCAACGTGTAAAGTACTTTTTAAAGCTTATATTAAGTGTAATTGTATCTATTAGTTTGGATCAGTCATGTCATTATGTATCATTGACCTAGCATATAAATTTGTGCGATAGAAATATTGTTTCCATTTGTTTTTGCTTAGCTTTTAGCTTTCTCAATTCGCTTTAATCCTATCACTCGTCTGGACTAGTTGGGAAAGATTGATGGAAGATGGGGGTATCTTGGTGAATGTTTACATGATCGCTTTTTAAATGCATAAAAAAAAGTTCATTCATATCTCAAGCGGACTAATTCAACTTATAACACCACATCTTTCAAGTACGATTTCTTTCACTTGTTCCAGATACCAAACAAATAATTAATTACTTATAGCTAATTAACTAATTATTTTTTAAAATTAATTCTTGTGTTGTCATGTACAGGAGATAATTGTACAAAATTTTAGCTTAATCCGAGATTGGGTGTGGGTGAAATAACGTGTACAAACTTGTTTACCATACAGATAGACAGAGTTGATATAAGCCTTGTAAGAAAAACAAGAGGAGTTCACTCTCTATTAACGTCACGTAAGAGGCAGATGTGTAAACAAACAAATGTTATAATCTTCAAATTTAATAGCAAAACAATGGATTCATTTTGGTTACGTTCTTTCAGCTGGTAATAACTATTTTAATATGAGAATAATTACTTCCCTTTCTTCTCTACGATGAAACTAAGTTGTTGTTATTATTTCTTAAAATTTTATGGCCAGGAAGTCGCTCAAGTTAATTGTTTTATTTTGTGTGACCAAAAATACAATAAGAGATTCTAATCTAGAGGATGTTGCAAATATCTCTATTTGAACAGAAAGTGATATCACGTCAGTTTCTTGGAAGTAAGTCTTTAGAACTTAAATAAATAGGTTTTAAATCAGTGTTTCTCAAACTTGTACCTGTAACCCCAGTGCAAAGCCCTCAGCCCCCTGGGTTACAAAAAGTGGTCATCATCGAACCACGATGGACGAACTATATACCTGTAAACCCCCCCCCCATACACACACACAAGCAAACCCCTTTCACTTGAGTACGCATTTGGAAAAAAAAAAAGTAGAAATGTTAGTTGAGCATGTCTTCGCAATAAACATTTGAGCGGAAAGTTTATTTTCCAAAATACACAAAAACAGAATATGAACGAAATAACTAAATGATTTGATCTGTAGACTTGCCAAGAAATTCTAAAATAAAAAAGCAATGAAGAAATTGTTCTCATAACATTTTGCAACATTTTGGTCCAAATAAAAACATTATTGAGAGAATAAACGAGAGGGAGAACTGTTTTGTTTTTTTTTAAATCAAAATATTTCTCAAGTATTTCTCATGTTTTATCAATAATCATACAAGAAATCATATTAAGGAAAACATTTCAACGCATTTTTTACTGTGCAATCAAGTCACGAAACTAAATGGAAGCAAGAGTTGTTTAATTGACAAGAATATATACAACAAACACGCAAAGACTTTGAAGTAACGCGAGGACTCTAGGAGTACTATTTTTTTGTTCAAATCCATTTTTTTTTTCTTTTTCAGAACTGTCAAAAATGTTTTGAGACTCTCAACATGGTCCGTTTTAGGCCTCTATAGTTGACAATGGGTGCTCTATAGATTCCTCATAGTTCGTTGTAGGCCTCTATAGTTGATACTCTCAACATGGTCTGTTGAAGGCCTCTAGAGTTGACAGTGGATGCTCTATAGAGTCCGTTTTAGGCCTCTATAGTTGACAATGGGGGCTTTATAGATTCCTCATAGTTTGTTGTAGGCCTCTATAGTTGATAGTGGATTTTCTATATAGTCCGTTGTAGGCCTCTTTAGTTGACAGTGTGCTCTATATAGTCCGTTGTAGGCCTCTATAGTTGACAGCGAATGCTCTATAGCGTCAACAAAAGCAACCTTGTATAGTCAAGGTATAGCATAATCAAACAAGGCTTTTGTGGCTCTGAATGGTTTGTGTTTGCAACATCTGCCAAAACGCTGAAATCGTTATAGTTTGTGAACCCACCCCCCTAATGAGCCCCAGATATATAATGTATTTACATTGTGCATTGTATAAAGTGACAGCTCACAGGAATGCACGGCCTTGCCCCTACTTGGTTCTCTAGAGCAATGCCACACATATAGCCTGTGACGAACTGAAGCCAGCACGCCGTGGGGCTCATAATTGAAAGCTGATTACAAAGGCTGGTCTCCTAAGAAAATTCCAGCCTGGAGTTGCAAGAGATATGTGGTGAAAAGGGGCCTTGTCCGCTGGGGGGCGAAGGTAGTGTTTTAGTGGCCTCTGGCGCCGTTGTCCTATCAAGACAAAGGGTGATGTGTGTCGTCCACTACGTCAATTTCATCGTCCGAGACGTCATCGAAAACTTCGTCGTCCTCCTCTTCCTCTTCAGCGGCGTCGTCCGAGAAGTTATCGCCACTGTGTTCCCTGCTTCCCCTGGAAGAGTAGCTAGAGTACACTTTATCCTCCTGGTCATTGTGGGAAGAGGACTCAACTGATGGCGACTCCTGCCAATGATATAAATAAACTTAAGGTAAATCCGCAATACTAGATAATCAATGGTATATTTTGAATACAATTTTAAAACAATTGACATTTGAGAAAGTGAAATGTGGGAAACAATGGGGTGGGGGTATAAAGAAATGGCCTTTAAGTTGTGACAATTGATTACAAAAGTTTAAAAGCAATTGTTAATTAAGGTTGACGATCTGAGCAATATCAATATTGAGAGAGCGAGAGCGAAAGAGATTGAGAGAGATAAAAAAGAGAGGAAAGAGGATAATCTGAAAAAAAACGTTGAAAGCTCCTCTCTCACCTGTTTTAATCTCCGCCACTTTGCTCTTCTGTTTTGAAACCACGTTTTGACCTGAAGTGAAAACAAGATCCATTGTAAAATTGTTTCAGCATTTAGATCTAACTATGAAGTGTGTAGTAAGTCTACATTAGTTGTGTCTTAAGTTATCTTAGCTCTCTGTCATTGCAAAAGAGGTTACAGCTCAGCAGAAAACAAGTTGCCTGATGTAAAGAAAGGTTCTCTGTCAGTAAACACATGAAACGTCCTATGATGTGTTTTTTAAAGTTTCTGTGGTGTCCTATGTTTAGTGTCCAGTGTTTGGTGTCCTATCTTTAGTGTCCTGTGTTTGGTGCCCTATGTTAAGTGTCCTATGTTTAGTGTCCTGTGTTTGGTGTCCTATTTTTAGTGTTTTGTGTTTGGTGCCCTATGTTTGGTGTTCTGTGTTTGGTGTCCTGTGTTTGGTGTCCTATGTTTAGTGTCCAACGTTTAGCGTCCTGTGTTTGGTGCCCTATATTTAGTGTCCTGTGTTTGATGTTGTATGTTTAGTGTCCTGTGTTTGGTGCCCTGTGTTTGGTATCGTATGTTTAGTGTCCTGTGTTTAGTGTCGTATGTTTAGTGTCCTATGTTTGATGTCCTATGTTTGGTTCCTGCGCTTGGTGTTTTATGTTTGATGTCCTGTGTTTAGTGTCATAAGTTTGGTATTCTATTTTTGGCGTCGTATGTTTGATGTCCTGTGTTTGGCGTCCTATGTTTGGTGTCCTATGTTTGGTGTCTTATGTTTAGATCATGTGTTTGGTGTCGTATGTTTAGTGTCCTATGTTTAGTGCCCTGTGTTTGGTGCCCTATGTTTGGTTCTAAACTGACGGAACACTTATAATTCACCTTTTTTTGCTGTTTGTTTCATTGCTGGCGATGTAGAGTTTGTTTTTTATTCGAGAAACTAAATCGCTACGCTGTTGTTTCTGTGACGAACACACTCGCCGGGGATTATATTATCAAACTTGACAATTCAATGAAATGAAGAAAGAAACATCTCTCTGTATTTTCTTCAAACTTCTTTAATAACTTCTTCAACTTTCACATCAAATTAACTTCTTAATTCAATAACAACTTGACTTGATACTTCATAAATAAAACTTAAATGATACATGAAACTTCACTTAGTATAACTTCAACTTCAACTACTAAAACTTTACTTAATGGACCCGCTAATATCATAAAACTTATTAAGCGAGGACCAACGCTCTACAAGAACTACTACTATGCGAGGACCCCGTCTAACTCACTTTCCCTTAATTTATACTTTCTTTGATCGTACGTTCCAAAATCATGGAACCTTCTCAGATAATTATTTTAGTAACTTTGACCTTCTAGAAGTTGACGTGTGCTATTTTTTTCCTTAACCCCTTTCTTTGATTGGATACCTAAAATTAACTTGTTTACGCTGGACACTTGCACTGGTTTTAACTCGAGCTTCTAGAAACTGGTCGAAATAGGTCACAGACTCGACTCGTGACATTACCCCCTTGCCTTTTTAGCCTTTTGTATGCAATATAAAATGCGTAAAATAACATTATTACTATTATAATATATGCACACAAAACCCAAAAAAAATTGTTCTATTAAATGTACGGAACTCATAATTCAAATAGTTGTTTCATTACAAGTAAATAATTCAAAATTCAAAATATTGTACACATTTAGCATATATAATAAGTATCACAAAAGAATACATCTTAGTTCCATACATTACTTGTCACTATATGATATTTAAGTATGAACTTTTCTAACTTCTGTAACTCAAGAAAATATCTAAATTATACAACTTCACAATACTGAAAAATACATGTCATCCCATCATATAATTTGCTAATATATTATTAACTTACTTTAATATATGAAATCTAAACATGTACTATGTCAAATTACTCATTTCTAAAATTCTCATAACAACAGTACTAATGTAAATATACTAAGTAATAAACAATTGCATGACATAATTATTAAAATAAATCTTGACACAGCTGTACAGTCCTCTTAGATTTGCAACTTTCTTCTTTCCAGATACTTGAAACTATTCTAGTCTGTCTGCACATTTCTTCTTTCTTGGTACTTTATAGTTCAAAATACGTTTAACAATATTGTCCTGTGTTTTCAGAGAGTTTTGTTCAACTCTGCTGTTGAAAAATGTCACTTTTGGTTTCAATACAAACTTGCTTAGTTTAACTACAAATCTACGTTGTTTCAATTGGTACAGAATGTCTCTCAGTTCATGAATATGTTTCATTCTAGCTTTAAGCAACATACAACTATTGTCCTTAAAACATTCTTTACTTTTCATAGGTTCAAACAAGAACTGTCCAAAATCGAGACTAAATCTTCCTTTTAGTGACAGTTTACGTTGTAAAACGATTGAGGTAGAAAACATTGAGTTAGAATGTTCATGTATGCATTGCTCTAATAAATCCTTTAAGTCTTTCTGCAGTAAATCTCTATTGTGCAAAGTTAAAGAATACACATTTGAGTTGGCAAGTTTGTCAGTTTTTAAGTTAATCACATTGTCTATAAATGTTGATTTGTCAGGAACATCATGAAATATCTCAGTATATTCTTCCCTTGTATTCAACAGGTCTTTCATACTTTTCAACTTTAAATGATGTATGTCAATGTCTTTGATAGATTCAGTTTGTTTTGATGTCGTTGGTAATAGTTCATTTATATTGCCTTCATTTTCCTCGTGAATTGTTGCTAAGCATGTAACATTTTCTTCTAGTTCTTTTGATAAGTTTGCTTTATCTGTATCCTCGTTGTATTTTTCAAGCATATGAACATGAAACACTTTGATATGTTTGTTAATGTTGATTTCATAAGTTACGTTTGAAATCTTTCTGATGATAGTAAATGGACCTTGCCATGTATAAATCAGCTTGTTGCTCATGTCAAGTAACCATAACTTCACTTTGTCTTCTTGTTTAAAATTTCTAAACTTTCTGTATTCATTTAATGCTTTTTCATTTTCAATGTTGACTTTAGCTTCTTGAGTTTTTTCACATGGCTGTATGAATGTAATATTTATATCAAAACCATGTTGAAATGTTTTCTTTTCTGATTTATCTTGATTTGACTTTGACATTGATTCATTTGAAACAAATATGTTTGCATCTGTATTTGGTTGACTTTCTATATAAGTACTTATATTACTTTGTTGCTGAGTCATATCACGTTTGTTGCATAAATTGTCCATCAATGTCAGACGACCTTCTGTCTAAGAGTTAAATGCAGAATAGTTTAATTCATCAACATTGGAGTCATTTTTGTCTAGTATCATATTTTCAACAGATTGGTAACTTTGTTCAACATTCGTGCGTTGCTCTTGAACTTTTGTTTTAGGATTGTTCATTTGACAAACTTGACATTGACGAACATGTTTCTTGACATCTTTTGTAATGCTCGGCCAATAAAATTTGTCAAGAATTCTTTTCTTTGTCCTCGTCACACTCGCTAGTTTGGTATGTAGAAAATTGTGATTCTTTTCAATGATGTCTTGAGTATATTTCAGTGGTAAAATGATTTGTTCAACAAACTCATAGGTATCATAATTAACACTTTTCTTCACAAGTATTCCTTCTTTGAAATAAGGTACATTAAGTCCTGGCTGCTTTACAATTGTTTGCGCCTTCTTGTACATTCTTGTCAAAGTTGTATCTTTCCTCTGGTCAGCTTGAAATTCTTCATTATTAACTAGTTGAAGTTCAGTAGTATTCTTGTTGTACTCATAAACAATGTCACAGGCTCCTTCAGTCCATGTTTGTCTCTTTCTCTTCAGTTTCATTTCTTTCTGTTTCTTGTATTTCTTTAACTTTTCTGTCTTCTTCTTTTTCTTCTTTGCGTTTCTTCTCTTCTGCTTCTTTGTCTTCCTGTCTTCTTTTTTCTTCTCTAATTCTTTTTCTTTCTTCTGCCTTACGTCTTTGTATATCGTAATTTATTTGTTGAGTGCACCATTCCTCCATTCTTTCTTGTGG